ATATACGTTGGAACCAATAACTCAGCATCCGGGTTCTTGTACTCAGTGACGTCCAGGTTCTGTTCGTCGTTAAGACTCTGCACATGGAAGATGAAGCCAAGCACTGCTGCACTAGATGTAAAGAAGACATAAGTTGGGACCCCAAACTCATTGGCTACGTCGATCATGGTTGTGCAGAACATATCAATTACAAATCCAGCAAGTCTAATCGAGTTGGACTCATTGTGGACTATTTTCACTACAGCATCTCTCATGGAATCCTTGCGGCTTTCGACGAATTGTGAGGGAAAGCTGTTGGGCGTGGTGGGCTGGTCAAGAGAAAATTCTATGTAACGTATTCGCGAATTGGATTTTAGGGACAAAGTCTTAGGCTCCATTGGCAACTTCAAGATGAAGACAGTGACTGAGAGGCGTTCATCTCTATCAGTGATAAGCTTAGCCATCTCAATAGTCGATGCCAAGTGACCCATCCCTGGAGCAGGAATGAAAACAAGCTCTGCTTTCTTTGTTTCTGCCATTTTCTTTGTCACTTTCAGTTCAGGGCAACTATAAAAGCTTCTACTAGATTTATACATGTATATATAAATATATTAGCAAGTAAATGAAAAAGAGTATATTCTTGGAGAACACTCATAGAGGATACTTCACGGCTCTTTCGCCCTGTAGAAAATTACGAGAATATTTGGTGACGATTAAAATTAGATTTTTTATTAAATCGTAATAAAAAATTTTGAAATTTGTTATTGAAAAGTTGTGGAATAATGTTATTAATATTGATTGTTTGATTTTGATTTAAATTAAAATTAAATTTTAAAATTTAAAATTTTAAGTTATAGAATAATATATATATTTTTTAAGAATGTGTGATTGAAAAGAATTTTTTTTGTTTATATGTAATATTATTTTATAAAAAATTGTATAATTAAAAATGAAGGATAAGAACATATTTTTGGGATAGTTTATGGGAGTCAAATGGGAGCTATACGGTCAAGGGACGCTGCTACATGAACTGGGCCCTATTTTCCGCGGGACACTCCACGTTTGAGAAGAATTATCATACTCAAGAATGGAGAAGACGTCATGGATGCGCCGGCAATCTTGATTTTATCTGCTCATTTTTTTGACTTCTCTTCCTACGTCAGCTTCCGTTAATTGACTGCTTCCACTAATTTATGAGTGGGCAGTAATCATAGACCAAAGAAAATAGTACTATTATGCCATTTGTACAGATTGTATTTACAAATTTTGTTGATAAAATAAGTAATATCAAAATTCAGGCTATTAATTTCTAATAATTTAAAAATCTATTTTTAAAATAATTGATATAGATATTAAATTGTCAACCAATTTTATATATCAATTTTCTACATATAACATAACTCAAGAAAATAAAGATTAGGAGTAAGATATACATTCGCTTAGACCTATATTCTTGGGACAGATTTGAATTTTCTAGTTCATAATAAACCAGCACGATTTTATATATATATATATATATATATTTGATTTTCTAATATTATATTTTGAAAATTTAGCTCTGACAATTATTATTTAAATTTCTTTTACATACTCATTTTTAATCATACATTCACAAAATAAAATATTCTATACGTAAATTCAAAAAATTTTCATACTTTTTAATTATATATTCTCCTAAAAAATACTATTCAAAACATTGTTTTTACGAAATAATGACAATCAAACGGGGGCTTTAATTTGTTATTACAACTTATATGACATATATTACTAAATTATCGAATATGAAAACTGTATAATCACTCAACAACAATTTTACAGTTTCAGGTTAAATATAAAGCCTATAGTTTGAAAACATCAAGACCAATACCCTCAAACTTGAAGTAAACATGGCAACAGGCACTAATTTCCTGAAGTCGCATCATGAGCTCCAAGTCTAGGAGTGGTTCAATCGCAAGTCCTACAACCAGACAAGCACCATCCATCTTATATAGTGACAAGCGAAGATATACCTAAAAAGAGATGGATAGACATTAGTCTCAATAGTTTATTACTTAGTCACTTCGTTACTGAAGTGGGCACCAGAGTGCCACCACCTAGGTATAGAGTCTAATAACTGTCTTAATGCTGCTTGTAGTTGCTGATCTCAAATCTGATTAGGATCGAAGTAGTTAAAGATAAGCACGAAGAGAGACCCATGACCACGAATAAGTTCTCTTCACAAATTGAAGAAAATTTGATTGCCAGAAGCAACACTATAACGGTCCCATCACGGGCTTAGGTCCTAGCGACTCTGGCATGTGCATCTATCCTTCCAGCAATGGGGTCTTGATTCTCTCAAGTCACAGAGCTTCAGTCCCACGTTTCTCAAAGGTTATATCTCTTGAACCTGCAATATCCATCAATGTCCTAACGTCGCAGTTGGTCGCAGTGATGGAAATCCCGAGTAATCACTGTATGAGATGCATACTGTGTCTACGTCTTCTTCCAAGAAAACTATCAAGCTTTTGCAGTGATCCTCATTCTCCACTTGCATAGTCTCCATTAGCCAGGTCTACTTGGGGTCTAGCTGTACTAATCTCATTGCTCAATTGTTGGCACTCCATGAGGACTTGATATTGCTGTAAGATGATCCTTCCATAGTGGTCAATACCAATACAAATTGTTTTTTCTTTGGTCATGGTCTCAGCGTCTAATGCTGTTCTTCTGGACCAATGTTCTGCATTCGATTCCTTATGAGTTGCTTGGTCTGTGTGCACATGTTCTAAATGACCAACTCAGATCAACCTTCTACTTTGTATTCTAACCGGACAGTCTTCTGTAAGGTGGCCCTACCCTTTATGGAACCACTACTCCTGTGTGCTCACGCACCTATGATTGTTTTTTTTGGCCTGTGCCTAATTATAGCATTTCATCCCTATTGTCAATAGGCCTTGCGGTGTTGGGCAGGTTGCATGCTTCCATTTTCTTCAAGAAACTGCTTTCCTCTCCTCTTCCCTTCCTTTCTGCACAGAAATTTACCAAACAAGCAATTATGAATCCACACACTAAATAAACCTAAGTTCACTTGCATAATACCAATTAACTCTCAGTTAACTTCAACTTCAAATTTTAGTTTGAAAAAGAGGCATGCATACAGTGCTGATCCAAACACTGCTTGCCGATAGCAGCCTTCAACCACTGATCATACATCCAGACTTTTTCCTACTCACATTTCTGTCATACTTACCCAATTTCAGCCAGATGCAATCAGATTTTTCTCCATTTATTCATTTATTTTATTGACAATTAGATGTAAATGTCTCCGACGCTATCTTTAAATGAAATACTCAGAATTGAGTCTAAACTGAAAATCTGAATTCAATCCACTCTTAACTAATCTTTTCGTGATTCTTTTTTCTGTCTCCAACACTATCTTCAAATGAAAAACTTAGAATTGGATTGCGTCTAAACTGAAAATATGAATTTAATCAATCTTAACTAATCTTTTAGTGATTTTTCTTTTCTTTACATTCATTTTCAAGGTTTTACCCAGACACATTAATTTCTGGCTTAAGATTACCAAAATTCAAGAAAACTTAAGAATAGTGTAATAATAATTTATCTTGGACTTAAAAGTTCTAATCCAATTTAGTTGTCAAATGATCTCAAGCAAAAAGGCAAGTGTAAAACGGTATATGCATGATGCATATGCACCAAAAAACATGATAAATAACAATAAAGAGTAATACGTACCTGAAATATATGCTCGTAGGCTAAGAAGCACAGACACAGAGTAAAAGACGAGAGATAACTCTCTACAATTATGGCATCATGGTCTGGTACTAGAATTTTTAAATTCCAAGATACCATTTTAGTTTGTTAAGCTTAAATTGATGTAAACCTCAAATAAGCATGAAATACAATTTCATATTTTACATTATAACTAATAGCTCTAAATTAATGGCCTAAAAAACAGAACACAAAATCTCAACACCTTCTTATGTACGAAAGGTGGTTTTGTCGAAGTTTGCTTCAGATGTGAACTAACTAACAACCATAGGTTACTGTTTGAGGATCTTCATAATTAAAATTAATTGTATACTATGTAAAAACTACATATTTAATTGATAACCATATCAGAGAAACAGGATAACATTTAAGACAGCATATTAAATATAAGATTTATTTTCATTTCTAATCTTACAACTTTAATCATATAATATTTAGTCTGGGATATTTTTATTTGGTTAATTCTCTGTCTAGCTTCTTTCCAGCATATTGAAAGGTCTTGATAGCCTTTGAGAGGATGCTATCCAACCAAGAAGTCAAAATCAAGAATTAATGTCTGTAGTTCTTATCCTTCCCATCTCATCACAGTCAACTAAATTAGAGAATTAGGACAAAACATGGAAGCCCTAGAAGTAGCTTAATGTGAGAAATATGATAGATGTAGAAATAGAGAAATTGAGATGGAAGCAAGGGAATAAACTCCAACAATCATTCTTATGTTAAAATATAGAACCTCTAGAAGTGGCTTACGGTGAGAAATATAATAGATGTAGAAATAGAGAAATTGAGATGGAAGCAAGGGAATAAACTATAACAATCATTCTCATGTTTACTTACAAGATCACATCTATAGCTAATTAACGTCTCACAAATCTGATATAAAAATTTAATTGTTGCAAAGTTTGATATTTTCTTCTTTGTTTGAGAAATGGAAGCCTAGAAACACATTTATAAGACTTTCAGGATATTAAATTCACTATTAATCAACTAACAAGATAACCTCGTTCTTTCACCAACTCATTGACTTCCCTTTGCCCTAGGCCAACCTTTTGACCATGTTAATTAGAAAATGATACGACTTTATGATGCAAACTAAGCATGTAGTGGCGACACATTCAGAATTAGATTTATTGAGAGTTATTTTTATTTCAAGTGCTTTCTATTTTGACTCAGTTTTAGGTTTTTTTCCTTATCCTGTTTCCTACCTTAATACTTTCTTTTCAGTTACAAATAGTTAATGATACAATACAAGTTTCTCTGTCTAATATTCTTCTCTCACTTGGCTGTTCACTCTCTCGCCTCCCTTCTCTTTTCCTTCTTTTTTCCCTCTCTCTCACCTCTAAATTTAGTCACTGTGATTGTTCGATACGTCCATACTGGGTCACTTTAAAAATAATAAGCAACACTTGAAAAAGGAAAGCAGTAAATACTCTCAAAGGATATCAAAATGCAGACTTTCTGGTGTTTCCGGATGCTTGACTTCATGTCTTCCATATGATTTCCAATGGATAATCACATCATAAAATGGAAAGAAACCCATAACTACCTCTGCATTGGAGTTGAACCTTTTTGTCTCTGCGAGGATCGATTTTGTTTTCCTAAACCTTCTGTGTCTTTGTTTTTCAAATTTGGCTACTTTCCCTTTTCAATTTTGATACTCTATGACATCTTCTTCAAATGCAATTTACAATAGAAGAACAAAATGACTTGGGGAGAAAATGAATGATAAATAAGTAGGAATTTGTATATCTGACCACTAGAAAAGGAGTGAGTTGTTTTTATTGGATTAGATTAGCAATTCTAGCAAACAAGCACACTCTTGAAATCTGCCATCCTCACCTAATCATGAAGAAAGATTTGCGTAGCACCACGTGCAGCAGCTATCATATAGCAAGCTTTATAAGATTTTATTACCTGCTTCAGAATCTGCATAAGCAAACCAACAAGGACCTCAACATCAACTTAATACCATCCAATTTCAGAAGAATACACTTCCAATGTGTTACCTTAATGATACAGCCACAAGAAGTGAGTAATCCATTAGACCGAATATCAGGAGCTACCCATTTAGTAACATGGAAATGAACGGATTCCATTTTCGAAACAAAAACCTTCTCAGTCTTCCAGCTCCAAAGTCCAGCCTTCACTTGATGTGAAAGGAGGCCTGTAACCAGCATCTTTCATATTAGCTGTCAATCTGTCCAGCATTACATATATCTCAGAACAGTGAGGGTGGTTTTTGTCTCTGGACACGAAATAGCTTGCATAGCCAGATATATTAATCCAACTGCAACCGATCTCCTTTGTCAATCCCCTTTCCAGCATTCCATTCCTTACACTGTTTACATACTCCCAGTTTCCTTCTTCAGCATGTATATTAGAAAGTAGAATATGATAACCTGATAAGCTATCTGCCCCCTCCATTTCAAGCAACTTACTGGCGACAGTTTTTCCCAACTCAAAATTTCTATGAATTTTGCAGGCAGCTAAGAGTGATCCCCAGATTCCCAGCGTATTACCTTCTTCACCCAATGTTTCAACAAAATTATATGCTTCAACCACCCTTCCAACTCTTCCTAACATGTCTACAACACAAGCATAATGCTCTGTTGAGGGTCTTATGCCATATTCAATATTCATTGACTCAAATATTTTAAGGCCTTCGTCAACCAAACCAGTGTAACTGCAAGAAGACAAAACCGCTACAAAGGTAACAGCATCAGGGTTTATGCCATATTCCCCCATGGAATAGAATAGCGTGATAGCTTTCTCACCCATTCCATGTTGGCCATAGCCCGATATCATATTTGTGAACGTGACTGAATTCTTTTCAGGGGATTTCCAGAAAACAATTTCAGCATCAATTATTGCACCTGATTTTGAGTACATGTCCACCAGAGCAGAGCTGACAAAGACATTAATGTCCAAGAAATTACGAATGGCAAAACCATGGAGTAGCTTTCCTAGTGCTACACTTCCTGAGTGACTGCATGCAGGGAGAATTGAAGCTAAGGTCACAGCATTGGGCATGACACTCTGCTCCAGCATACGCCTGAAAACAATGAAGGATTGTTCAATCCTCCCATTCTGTGTGTTTGCAGATACCATTGTATTCCAAATGGCAGTATCACTATCATTTGTACAGCTCCTACAAAAGATATTGTGTGCTGCATCTATCAAACCTGATTTGGCATACATGTCTATGAGATAACTCTCAATCCCATCAAATTGAATACCATGTCTGATTAGGTAAGCATGTGTCTCTTTACCAATATCCTGGTCTCTTAGATTTGATGCAGCCGAAAGTAGTGCAGTAATTGTCACGTCATCAATTGAAAGCCCCTGCTTTTGCATCTCATAGATAAGCATTAAACCTTCATTGTCCAACCCATTCTGTATAAGAGCAGTGATCATGGTATTCCAAGAAACAATATCTCTTTCCTGCATTCCACTAAAAACTTTAAATGAATCATAAATACAACTGCACCTTGAATACAAAGCAATTATTGCATTTTGCAGAATAACTGATGATGCCAAGGAATTTTTAATCAGATATGAATGTAGTTGCTGAGCAACATCCAACTGTTGTAACTGTGAAGCTGCAACTGTAGCAGAAAGGAAGGTGATTTGATCGATACTATCATCGTCCTGTCCTTCCAATGCTTTAAAAAAAACCTTAAGAGCGTCAACAGGGCGAGTATTTTGAATACACCCACCAATCATAGTATTCCAAATCTCTGCATTCTTCTCCAAACAATTCTCAAATATCTTATTAGCAAATTCAAGGCAACCAAGCTCTGAATACATCAAAATGGCCGAGCTCACAACAAACAGATCATTAGCACATTCACTACCCAGTTTTATTACCATTCCGTAAAACAAATTAGCAATCTCAGCATCTCCTAATCCTGACACTGCCCTGAAAACATTAACAAAACTAACAGCAGTGGGTCGAATACCTATTTTCATCATCACCACAAAATGCTCAACAGCCTCTCGAAATCTTCCCCCTTTTGTGTGCCAAGAAACCATAGTATTCCAAGCAACAACATTGCGTTTAGGAATAGTATTAAACACACTTTCCACTAAATCACATCCAGAACTATTTCCAGAGCTCAAAAGACAAGTGATATACATGTTTAACAGAGAATTGTACAAAATCCTACTGGGGAAGATGTTGGAACGTAAAATATGGCAGTGCAGGGCTTTACCAATTAAAAGTTGCTTCGCTTCCGCACAAGCTTTAAGAGTGGAAGAGTAAGTGTAAGCATCACAAATATGGGGGTGAGAAATGGATGTAATGGTCCACTTCATTCGGGAATAAAACTTGATGGCTTCGTGGGGCAAGTTGTTGCAAATGTAGCCAATGATGATCGTGTTCCAGAGTACAGTAGTCGGATGTGGAATTGAGTCGAACAGTTGGCGGGCAAGATGGACTTCGCCATTTTTGCAAAGCTGGCTTAGACGGTACCTGATTGTTCTGGATTTTGTAGGTGTGTCTTGGTGGAGTTGGAGATGGTGGGTGTCTTGAGGAGTGCATGCTTGTTGGTCTGGGATTAGGAAGGAAGAGTAATTGTGGTGGTGAGTTTGGGAGACAGTGGATGTGGTAAAAGGGATGGGCAGTGCCGAGGAGGACATGGCTACTCGCATTTTGGTTGGATGCTAATGCCCAATTCTGTGTTCCCATATTGGCATTTCGGAAAAAATCTAGCTTGTCTTCTAAAATATCTTAAATCCTTAGCCCTCTTTGATAGCAATCTTTCGCTCTAAAAACTTAAGGGTCCGTTCTCTTTATTATTTTTAAACCATTTTCAGTTGTTAATTTTTGAAAAAAAGTTTACTTACCTATTTTCAGAAATGAATTTTTGAAAACGCGGAAAAAAATTACAAAGAAAACGCAAAACCACCTTTTAGTCGTTTTGACTGTTTTTACTTTTTAGTAGAAACCAAACCAAAACTTCAAAATGCGGAAAACGCGGTGTTTTTGCAAATAGCAAGATAGCTCAGTTAGTTGGGTCACGAATTTTCCTAAGGCCAAGAGTTCAATTCCGTTTCACTGCAATTTAGTGTAAAGGAATTTTCTTTTTATATGCACAGTAGAAGAAATTTCAATTGAATTTCGCGTTTTTCTTATCAAAAGCCGGATAGCTGGTAGAGTCTTGGGTTTTGAGATGGTCATGAGTTCGATTCCACCAGCCTACTTTCAGGTTTTTTTTTTTATTTCATTATTTTTAATGCACAATATAAAAATCTTTCAAATAAATAGGTAGGTAACCGAGATTCGAACCCTGGTCACCAACATGGACTTTTAATGCCTTAACCACTATGGCTAGGCTAGGCAAATCTTCCGAACCGAACTGAACCGAACACGACGGTTCTTGTCAAATTAAATACTCGAATAGGTATCTAAATTGAGAATCGATGGGTACGATTCGGTTCTCGGTTTTAGACCAGAATCGAAAAATCGAATAAGAACCGAATCTTTCTAATTTTTTTTATATTGAGTAAACCAAATTATTTTAATTTTAATTTTTTCTACACAAATTAACAATTTCTAAATCCAAATTTTTGGTCCAATAATTTGTTTCATTTCTAATTTTTTAATTTTTGGCCCCATTACCCATTTTATTGTTTCATTTCTTAGTTCAACAAGATCCAATCCACTAAATAAACCAAAACACATACACTAAAGTGTATAACGTTGTCTCGACTCTCGCACTCACTCTCGTAGTCTCGCTAATATTCCAAATCCTATACAATCGTCGGCCGACGCTGTGACCTCCGATTGAAACTGTTACCTCCGCTGATCGAAGCTTTGACCAGAGCGATCATTTGAACAAAGTAGTCTACTAGTCTCTGACATTCCAAAACCATTGAATGTATCATTAGTTGTACTTATATAATGTTGTTATAAATGTTAAAAAATTTAATTATAGCACAGAACCGAATCGAACTGAACCGAACGGAATCGAACCCGAACGGTTCCATAATTATATTAGGACCCGACGGTTCATTTACTAGATACCCGAAAATTTTGGTTCGATTTGATTCTAAAACCGACCCACGCCCACCCCTAACTATGGCAACCGACTTTGCTTTGTTGTATAAGTAAATAAACTCTAATATATTAAATAATTGCTTTCACAAATTTTCAAAACTAGAAAGTAAACGCGTTTTTTAATTTTTTATTTTTGAAAACAATTTTTCAAAATAACAAAAAGAACACTTTTTCAACAATCTTAAAATGGACACTCAAAACACTTTTTTTTTAATCATTATTTCACTATTATTATTGTCATTTTTAACTTTTTCACTCATACATGAAACCACTTTTCTCTTTAACGATCAAAAAATCAATTCTTATAATCACTAACGAACAGACTTTTAGCCCCGGTTTGGGAGCCATTTTGGCTAAATTGAAATTCATTTTTTCACCGTTTGAGAAGGTCGGGGGGATTCGGACATACAATAATTATTGAACATTACAATGACTTTCAAAATAATCAAATGTTGTGGGCATGCAAAATGATATGAATGCCCCCTCCTAGATTTTAAATTTGTCTAACAATGAGGGGCAAAAGTGACAATTGACATAATATGGTACACATTTGAATGTGTTGGATATGTCAGTTTTAGTAGAAATTGGCCCCAATCCAACGGTCAAAAAGTGTATTGTGTGATAAAAAATAGCTTCCAAACAGGGGCTTAGTTTATTCACCTTGGATACGGGAGGATAAAAGTACTCACTTGAATTGAAAATGAATCATTTGGTTCTTCTTAATTTTAAATCAGACTCGAATAAAAAATTCTATACCCAAAATTGAAATCCCTAATTCATTCATAAAAGTTTATTATTTTGTTCTATTGAGATGGAACTTCGCATTCAAAAATTGTGTTGTTATTTTTTAAATGCTTTAAGGTTTGAAGGTTATGATTTATTGGATTTTGTGTTGTTTTTGAATAAGGAGAATGAAGACACTTATTGGAAATATTACAACTTCGAAAACTTTAATTATGAAATCGACCAAACAATATTATATGATCCAATTCCAATTTAGTTCTATAGTTCAAGTAGGAACCAACGGTTCCATTTATGAGATATGCGTGATTCTCTCTTTGATAGGTTCTCTTCAGAATCGAATAAATCACATTCAACCCTAAATCAAACAATTGATTATTTATTAGAAATCTAACAGATCTCGAACAAAAAATGAGACAATAAAAGCTTCTACTATGTTGGGTGCCATGGATCTCTCCATATCAATTAGTGCTTGTTTGAGCTCCATTGTTTAAAAAATTATTTTTGCCTCAAATTCATTTTCAACTATATACTTTTCAAACAAAATAATTTTACACGTAAATTCAAAATTTTTCATTCTCTTAAATCACATATTATACTAAAAATCACTGTTAAAATGTTTTTTTTTCCCAAAAAAAGGCTCAAAAAAACCTTGTTTGTATGTGGCGGTCTATTTTTGTCTTGTGAGGTTGGGTATAAATATCTTAAAGTTTGAAATCATTTTATCAGGACTGATCTCCTACCCATAATAGACAGAATGTATCTTGCACATCAATGAGGTGGGCATCTTATTAGTGGGTCTAAAATATCGATGACCTCATCGGTGGGCAAGATATATCCTGCTCACAATGAACAAGAGTTAATCATCCTTTCACACCTAGAAGTACCAATATATGTTCCTAAAGGTCGAGGTGGAATAAAACATGTTCGAATAAGTGAGTGCTTTGATAAAATTATAAAGTATTAAATTAAAATGCAATAGAGATAAGTGTTAAAAATAAAAGTGAGTGGTAATTGCGAATCTTATTTAATTTTGAAAAGTAAGTTACTTTATTTGACAAAACATGTTATTAGGTTGTAACATGTTGATCTTATAAAACTGTGAACAGCGACCATGACTATAATGGTCTTAAGGTAGCGAAATTTCTTATCAGGTACTGCTTTAATGGGTAAACAGCTCAACACTTGGAACATACTACAACCCTAGGTGACCTCTTGGTTGATTCTGCACCCCTACGTCCTTTATTATTGAGCGATCATTCAGGGGACTTGAGACTCTAACTAGTTGTCAACCCTTTTCAAGTACGAGTCTGGAGTAAAAGCTTGCTTGATTTTTATTAAAATCTCCTTTTATTTGAAATAATACTAAAATATTAAGTGCTTATTTGGTAGAAATTTTGATAATTGATTTTTTGACCGTTAGAGAAAAAGTAGGTCCTACCTATAAGAGAAAATTTCAAAAATGACGACTATAATAGTGAATTAACGGTCAAAAAATTGATTTTAATTTGTTTTTTAGCTATACCAAACGAGCTCTAAGTTTAACAATACATTCACAAATACTTTTATAATAGTCTCGTGAAACTCTTTAATTTAAATTATAATTAAACTCAAATAAACACTAACATATGTTTACAAATCATTTAAAAAATGTTTAATTAATTTTTATCTACAATTTTATGAAATTCAAAAGTAGTATTCACATATTCATGATTAATTTCTATCTATTTATTAACAAAACTATTTATAAACACTTCACAAATAAGATCTAACTAGGTAAAAGTAAATAAACGTTGTGAATTCTGTCGAATGTATGAGTAAATATTGAGTTTAATTGTTATTAAAAAAAAGTTTAACATGCAAGTAATTATAGGGAATATTTGGGAGTGATTTTTCATAAAAAAAAAGTTAATTTTTTAATCGTTATTTCACTATTTCAGCCGTAATTTTTTATTTCTCTCTTATGGTGCGTTTGATTGCAAACATTTTCCATGGAAAATGTGTTTTTTCCACATAATTTCCCACTTTTGTCTTGTTTGATTGATAATTTATTCCAAGGAAAATATTTTCCTTGGGGGAAAGTGGATTTTATTTTGCATGAAATTTAACCCTTCCAAAAATTCTAGTTGGTAACCAACCACGTAAATCTCTCTCTCTCAACTCTACCCACCCACGTCCAAATCGCTACCTCTCTCTCTCTCACATCGATTCTCAGCCAGCAAGCCGTCTCTCGTCCATTCAACTGAGCAACCAGCGTCTCTCACATCCATTCAACCGAAGCACGAAGAAGAAATCGACCGACCGTGTTTGAAGAAATCGACGAGACGGTAACTGCATAGATTCAGGTTACTCTCACAATATTTGATTTCTATATGTGTAATTCTTAATTAAACTGAGTACAAAGCGAACACGGATTTTTTGGAATTTGTTTTTGTTTTTTTGATTTTGAGATTCCACATGATTGTATGTGAACTCGGATTCCAGAATTTTTCTCCTCTTTAATGACCCCCAATTCTATTTCTGTGATGGGCTTTGCAAGGTGGAGATGGAGGTGGAAAGAAATTGGGTCTGCAAGGTGGAGGTGGAGCTGGAGCTGGAAATAAATTGGGTTCGGGTTCTACAAGGTGGAAGTGGAGGTGGAATCTTGCAATTTTGTTGGCATATGTATCATTGAAGATTTCCCAGAGTTATGAAATCTTTGTCTTTATCTATACTTGCATTCGAAGACCTTGAATGAATTATGCTTTCAATGGTTGAGTTTCTTGATTAATTTAAATGCAGTATGAATGATGGGAGCTGTGGAAGTGGAGGCAGTTTGGGAATATCAAAAGAAGACATCCCTGGTATGAAGTTATGAGGAAGGAAATTCACATGATTGTTCTTACTAAATAAGCTTTGATGAGGGTTTACCTGTCAAATAACCAACGCATTGCAAAATGGTAGATCAAATCAAAGGATAGATCACTATTAACTCATTGATCGCATTAGGTCTGCTGGGTTTGTACGGTAGGTTGCTGCTTAGTCATTAAGAAAGTAGCACAATTTAGAAAACTTAGTTTATGCTGATTAAGTTGTTAAACATGTAGGTTTAGGATATGGGAAGCAAAGATGAACCATTATTAAATAGTGATGCAGAAAGTGATGATTGTGAGTTATAAGAATATATAGTTAATTCTATTGGAGATATATCATTTTTGGTGGTTTTCACTATATCATTTTTGCTTTTTTAATATATGTTTTTTGCTGGTTTTTACTGTATTACATTCGAAGAGTAACTGGAATCCAGTGGTATTTATATCGATGGTTTTGAGGGTAACATCAATTGAATAGTTCCTCACACATGTTAGTAGAATCTCAGAAATTGGTTGAGATTTCTTTGCTAGAGTAGTGTTTGGATTTTCAATAAGATAATTGCCAGTAAGTTATCACTGTTTGCCTAATATAGCACTTGGATCCTGACTTCAATTATGTTGGTATTAGGGTCAGCATTTTGACTATTTTGTAGCAATTTCATTTTTTCTGCTGTTTTCTATCTATTAGAACCATTTATCCTTCATGTTACTTGCATTTGAGGCTGCTTTCTTGGGTATCTTCGTAGGAAAAAGATTTTCATAAAAGGAATCTCTTTTTACTTGTTACCATATTTGATGAAATTTAAGTAAAATTTGTCTCAAATTCATTACCAAATTTTCATTTTTGGACAACACTTCAGAGTTAAAGATTCTGATGCACATTATATGTCTGTAGATGTCTTTTGGTATAGATTTTACGCATTCAACAGGGCAAAAAATTAAGTGTCCTGGTCAACCACCTCCAAGATTGAATCATCAACTGTTTAAATTATTATTAGGTTTTTCAAATAGCTAACTGGTTGGTTCGCTTGGGCCATATTCTAGCAAATTCTTTTGATGATTTATTTCAATTTAATTACTGGACTACCAGAACCAAATGAAAGTTTTGATCTTGACCAGTACTAAAGGTGGTCTTTTAAATAGTTGTTTGATATTGCCTCTGATAATGGCAATGAAGGCAGTTCCTTTTAGTATTTGGAGAAAAAGGGTCTTTTGGGAACTTCATTTCTCTAGATCTGGCAGCATTGGTTGTTCATAAATTTAGGGAAATGTTTGAGTTTTCAATCACGCCCTCACATCCTACTAGTAGGAATTTGTTCTTTAGTCTAGTAATGCTGGAATTTTATTTATTCCAATCTATCTCTATGAAAAATTTTCCTTTATATATCGTATCTACAAGTGATATTGTGATTAATTAGTTTCAGAATGTGTTAATCGTTTATTTGAAATTCCATAAAGTTTTTTATTTTTATTTTTTGACTGTCCAGGAAGTAGAAACAAATTCAAGAAACTAAACCCAGCTAGCGTTTTGATTGGCTTGGGTGAGTGTATCTACGGATCTATTACCAATATAATGCACAATAAATTAACCGTTGTCCATTGTGCATATTTTCCTGTAGCTACAATTAACTTTTTATTCTGTAATGATGTTATGTTATTCTTTATAAACAAATTTTTATTGGATTTTTGTTTACCGTGATAGTTTATAACATGGCTTCAACAACGAATCAACGTCGATGCCGACGACAACATTTATGTTTATTTTGGACAATGGTCATACAAGCGATTGTGATATATAACGAAGTTAGGCGTCGTGCACGACATCTTCCAAGAGCTCCTCATACAAATTGGAATTCTGAAAGAGAAATAACACTTACACGAATGTTTGGCACGAGTGATACAATATGTCGTGATCTCCTTAGGATGAAAATAGGTCCATTTCAAAGATTATGTGCTCGTTTGCGAACTTATGGATTGGTTGACAGTAAATATGTTCGAATTGAGGAACGAGTCGCAATTTTTCTGAATACAGTCGGGCATGACCAACGTAATCGCGCTGGACGTTTTACTTTCTTTCGTTCTGGTCAAACAGTGAGCTTTTACTTTCACAGAGTCTTATACGCTTGTCTTGGACTGTATAGAGATGTTGTGATTAATGCCACTCCTCATAACTCACCATACGAAAAAAAATGTGCAGCCATGGTACTCCTTTTTTCAGGTTAGTGGTTTGTAGATATTTCATCATATTTTTTAAAACTTCAATATTTGAGACATCAACCCTATCACGACATTGACACACAAGCAAAGATAGCCCTTGCCTGTTCTGCCATCCACAACTTCTTAAGGATTGATGACGTTGAAGATGTTTGTGAGGAGGACGACTTAGATAGTAGTGATGATGAGGTTAACCCTACGCATGTTGATGTACCTGAAGATGAAACTCCAAATGCTCACATATCTTTCACAAATCAGGAAGTGTGGTCTAATAAGAGGAATGCGATTGCTGATTTAATGTGGGCTGATTATCTTCCCAATCAGAATGCGGGAATTGATTTCGATTGAAATCTTGTTTTTTTTTCTATGTAATGGATATAAACTTACTAGACTTTCATATGTAGTAATTGATTGAATTGAAGACGTATTGACATTAAGCATATTTTTTGTTTTTTTTTTCCCATGTCCTGTAATAGTTGACATAAGATTGCTAAAATTTTAAATATTGTAATTGGAATTGTTGTTATTGGAGACATTGTCGACATGCAATTTTCTTAAATGTTCTTATTTATTGGTTGACCGTAAACAGTTAATCTTGCACTATACAATTCATGGCAAATACTCGACAAAGCTCTGCGGCACCTTTTCGAGTTCCTAGACCAACCCTTCATTCAGATGTGGAGGAAATAAGCTCAACCCAAGCGGATCCTAATTCTAGGAATCGTCAAATACGTTGGAGTGATGCAATGGACGGTTGTATGATAACCGCACTATTACATCAAGTGTTGTCTAGTCACAAAAGAAGTGACAATGACTTTTCATCATTTCACATGTCCAAAGCAATCGAGAGCGTGCACAATGGATGCGGAGTGATGGTGTCTGATAAGAATGTGAGGGCACGGTTGAAAACTCTAAAAAAAGAATATGTTGAAGTTTGTCAGTTGTTAAGCATGAGTGGTTTTGGGTTAGATCCTCACACTGGACGTGTCACAGCTGATGTACTAGCTTGGGAGGAGTTGTTGAAGGTATAAAATTTCATTGACCAATATTACTAATATAATTTATGGTGCCCCCTAACTAGCGTAAAACATATTTCACTCTTTTTCTTGTAGGGCAAACCAGAATTTGGAAAGTGGAGGACCAAACTTTGTTCTCGTTATGATGATTTGGAGGCTATTTTTGGAAATGATTCTGCTACAGGAGATCGTGCTGTAACCGGCAATGACATTTTATCCCCTGATCATGGTACGTACTAGATCAGACATAAAAATTTATATAATTCGTATTATATTAGAGATTCTAACAATTTCTTATTTTACTATTTTTTAGATGAAACTGTGCATGAAATTGATAATCAAAATGAGGATGCGGATCCAAGCCCCATTCGCGCTCCTAAGCGTAATGCCGAAGGAGAAACTAACAAAGTTCGCCGTCGACGTACCCAACCTAATGATGAGAGTCTCGTTGCCCTATCAAGCATTGCCGAATCATCCAAAAAAATTGCTATCGCTATGGAGACTCAAGCAACATTAGATACGCTAAACCACATCAATTGGCAGTTGGTTCTAGAAAAATTACAAGGCATGCGTATAGAAAAGCGTGACATAATGCAAGTAATGAAAATATTTCGATCGGATGAGAGTCTGGCTAGAGTATTTATGAGTTTGACTGATGAAGAATTCATGCGTGATTTAGTATTTGAGAATCTGGGACGTGATCCGCCTCCACTATTTTAAGATCACTTGGTTGGATAATTTAACAAACATGTGAAAGTATGACATCTATGTTGATTTTATTTGCTATTTTCTTATGATACCCATTTTTTGGATTTTTTCATTTTCGTTTTATGTAATACATTGGACGAAATTTCATTATTATTTATTGAATTGATTATCCGATTATTATTTATGACTGCAAAGACGAATATGTAAGTGGTAGAAATCTTAATTGTTAGGGATAATTATTTCATCTCGACCGTGTTTTTGCATCTTCCATACTGAATCTTGGCATATTTTTATCCACAAATTAACTGTTATATTAATTATGATTGATTAGGATTTGACCGCATTTATGTCTAAAATTTGGATCACTCACATTGACAAATTTTCATGGGAAAAAATCACTATTTTCTATGGAAAACGTGAAAATTTTCATGGAAAATAATGGTTGTCAAATAGACAAAGTTGGAAAAAATGATTATTTCCATGAAAAATAATGGCTATCAAACACCAAAAGTTGGAAAATTGCAATATTTTCTAGGTTCAAATTTAAGTCAATCAAACACGTGTAATTACCATTTTTCATGTAAATAAATTCCAGACAATTGAATTATCTGAAAAATATTTTCTTTCTATACAATTTTCTTAATTGCAATCAAACACACCCTTAGTGATAAACGCACTCTTCTTCAAACAATAAAAAAGTCGATTCTCTAAATCCCAACCAAAAACTTTACAAGCTTACCCTACCCCGTTACAACTCAAAATCAGGTGAATTAAGGAACAGGGGTTCTGTACTTCGTAGTTTCTAGAGACGCCAGTCTTAAAATACTTCCTCTACGATGGCCCTCCGGCCCCTCCGCCACCACGCCGTCGGTCGGCTCTCTTCCCCCGCCTCCCGTCACAGCTGGTGGCGTCACATGTCCACTGCCACCAGCAAGAAAACACCCCTTCTCTGGGACTATACAAACTCCAACATTACCACAGACAACCCACAGCAAAATAAAGAATCGGCAGTCACAATCCAACTACTATCTTGGGGTCGTGGGGCCTCTGGCCAACTTGGCGGGGGAATCGAGGAAATACGATTATACCCCTCACCCGTTGCAACACTCATTCTCCCTCCCACTTTCAAACTTTCTTCCTCGACCCCAGGTCGCCTCTCCTCCCAGTGTTCAAATGGTGTTGGGGCTGGGGGCCAGGTGGAAATAGGGATTTCTTGTGGACTTTTCCATTCGGCTTTGGTGGTGGATGGAAAGCTGTGGATATGGGGCAAGGGCGATGGCGGCCGCCTCGGGTTTGGACATGAAGACTCTGTCTTTGTTCCTACAATGAATCCTAATTTCGACTCGGCTGTCAAAAGCATAGCTCTTGGTGGTCTCCATTCTGTTGCTCTCGATTCCCTCGGCCGCGTCTTTACTTGGTCAGTACCCGCCTTTTTGCCATATCTTCGGTGTAAAGGATGCATTGGAAAATAGTGTTTTACGGAGTTATAGCCGTAGATGAATACTACTACATTAACTTGTGTTTCAGTTTTGTATTCTATTCTCTGTACTAGGTCTCTTGTCTTGATTTTGCCTAAGTTATTACAATCTACTGATCCACTTCAGTGACAATTTGAAGTATCGGAGCTCTAACAACGAAGCTCGGTGTGGCATTTAGGTCATTTAGAATGAGACAATTATTGAAAATTGAATAGGATAAGTCTAATTTGGTAATTACAACACCTTGAGATGAAGATCATAACAGAATCATCACACTTTTAAAATCGTCTGGCATGTTTAAGAATGCTATTTTGCAGATCACTATGTAGTTTCATTCAGCTGTTGTAGTTTCATTTCATCCCAAATCAGATTACGCCATAGCTTTTAATTTGTTGACAAATCCATTGAAGATTTGCATAGCATGATCAAGCTACTTCATTTTTACTGCATTGGTTTCCAAGTCTGATGCTTCCATTTAAAAATGAAGTTTTCAGGGGTTATGGTGGGTTTGGTGCTCTTGGACATTCTGTGTACCATAGGGAGCTGTTACCTAGATTGGTCGAAGGATCTTGGGATGGAGAAATATGCCATATTGCCACCAGTGGGACACATACCGCTGCTGTCACTAAATCTGGTTAGATATTTCATTATAAAAATCCATGTTTATAGCAGAATAAATCATCTTTTAAGTATTTTGTTATAATCATTTGATTTCCTGGGATTCGTGGACTTAGACGGTGAAATCGTATCTTAAAGAAATATTCTAGTGCTGGCAATTATACTTGTAGGTCAATCTTGAATTGATTAAATTGACTATGGAATTTCTTGAACTTATTTTATATCGAATTTGTTTGTCAACACTCAGTAATACAATTCGACTTTATAATTGTACCCGAATCTGTTGATGTGTATGTCCTCAACCAAAATATAAATTAACTTTATCCCTTGCGTTGTCATTATCTTGTCACCCTACTGGGGTTTCTATCTTATTGGGACAGTAATACAAGTCGACTTTATAATTGTACCTGAATCTGTTGATGTGTATGTCCTCAACCAAAATATTAATTAATGTTGTCCTGTGCATTGTCATTTCTCTTGTCACCCTACTGGAGTATCTATCTTATTGGGATAACTGTAGTTCTATACTTCTATACATCGGAAGAGAATTCTATATCTCATGTTTTATTTTGTGTTTGAAGTCTGCAGAAAAATGATATTATTAAATCCATTTTATTCCATCTTTTTGCATCCAAAGAATATTATGTATTTTTTGTATAACCTGCTCAATATTTTCTTATGCTTTTTCTATGCCATTTTTATTTCTCGTCTGTTCACCCTTACAGCTTGCCTTATCACACCATAGACGTCAGTGTATGATCCACTCATGTACTCAACAACAGTATGAATGATTGCCATATAATTATCCTGTTGTTTCTATCCAGTCAATGGTCCATTTTTAGCAGGATCTGCATTTTTCCCTTTTTTTTTTTTTTTTGCCAATGAGATAATATTAGTCATTTTTAAGCACACGATCTGCTTTAGGGTTTTTAATAACATAATACGGAGAAAATAGAAAAAAAGCCATTGAATTTGACATCTTATAGTGCCACCTCAAAACTGACATTATATTTATGTTAACCCTTTTTATGAAAGACGTAATGAGCAGTACACATCACTGTAAGCAATGTTAGAGCAACAATCTGTTTCTGTTTTGATAGGTTTTAAGAACTACTCATCCCGTGTATTTTATTTAAATTATACACTCTTTTTCAATTAGTTAGAGCCTGGTTGCCCACTGTCTTTTGCTACTCAGTCTGTATTATAATTTTTCCCATTGAATTGTCCCATAGTCCAATTTGATGGATTCGGCAGTCAACACATTATGTTCTAGGTTACGACTACATAATGCAGCTTGATGCAACCTAGCGCCTATAAAAACTTCAATAGATCTACAGTACAACATTTTTGACTGCCAACCCTCCACGGCCGAGGCCCCCCTCAATGGGTTCTAATCCTATCACCACAGCATTTTAAGTTAGCTAGCAGTTCTCTTTCTTGCTACTGCTCTGAAATAATGCTTGAGCAAATATGGAGGAATCTATCCTAGAAATTGGTTCTGTTCCAAGTTATGGTCCATTGGTGATCTTTCAAGTTATTTTACTGTTATTTAACTTTTTATTATGAAATCCTTTCTGATTTATCTAGGTACTACATTATGTTTCTGATTTATATTAGCAATGTATCGTTTCGCAGTTTGATGGTTGTGGGGCACACAGGCAATTAGTATTGTGTATGCCATGCTACAATCTTGTCCCTTTTATCCATACAAGTGAAATGTTTCAAATTCTTTCAGAGCTGGCCCTGATATTTTGGGGGCCTTATGCCAATTTCAAATTGGGGCCCTATATCTTGATTCTCCTTGTATAGAGTTTTAGCCTATTTGATGGAGATTAAGCCCTTGTTTGAATCCCATTTTTTCATCAAAATACATTGTTCAATAGTGATTTGACATCATTTCAACCATACATTTGTCAATAAAATAATATTACACACAAATTCAAAACTTTTTCTTATTTTTTAACCACACATTCTCCATCGTAACATTATTTCAAAATGCATTTTTTTTGAGAAAAATGAAGCTCAAAGAACCCTTAAAATCAAATGTTTAGTAGATTTTGATAGAAGTAGATAGAATATGTGGATTTAAAATTTTGGAACCCATAAAATATGTGGTTAAAATTAATTGTCAATTTTGACTTAGATTAAAATCTAGATTTTAATTGATGCAAAACAGGGGCTTAATATAATTATAAAGAATTTAACACAGACAACTAAGTCCCAAAATTTGAAACGAAAATAAACGAAATGTCAAATTTCAAACAGCAATACAAACCACAAGTAAACTTTGACAAATAGAATTACAATACAATGACAAAGGGGTATGCTCATTTGTATAATTATTTTCTCACTACAACTATTTCAAATAAAATTAAATATACATTTGAGTGATTTATGTACAAAATTGAAGAATGTGACTGCAAAAGATAGTGTAACAAAATAATGAAAATGATGATCAAATATAACCGAGCTTCTAATTTTATATTAATTTATAAGAAATTAACTCAAAATAAGAAGTATCTAAATGAACAAGAACAAAGAATTATTAAACTCAAAGTACTTTCAGCAAATAGCTAAAAATATTATTATCATGAGATTAAAACAAAACAATATAATAACAACCTATATACTCAGGGCCGCCACTAAATTTGGGGCCCTTACCAAAGCAGGCCTTAGGCGATCTCCTACTTCGCCTATACTCAGGGCCACCACTAAATTCTTTGATACATGACATCCATTAAAAAAGTTGTGATGTAAAATAGAGATGAGAATATTGGACTATTTTGTGAATTCATACGAAGGCCTTGTTTGATTCTCTTTTTTTTTTAAATACATTTTTTTAATTCTTCTTTTCAACCACGCATTTTTCAATAAAATAATATTACCTGTAAACTCAAAATTTTTTCTTATTTTTTAATCATACATTCTCCATCAAATCACTATTCCAAAATGCATTTTTGTTGCAAAAAAAGGGGCATCAAACAGGCTCTAAATGCACCATACGGGTCATCGAACAGTTTGTAGTCAATGCAGAAATATTTGCCTTATTTTTTCCGCTGATCTTGTTTAAAGAACAATTTCTCTATATTTGATGAAGGAAAACTTTACATATGGGGCCGAGATGAAGGTGATGGTAGGTTGGGCCTTGGTCCTAGTCGTGGTCCAGACCAGGCAGGTGGTCTCAGCATTCCCTTTGAAGTTAAAGCACTGCCTGTGCCAGTGGTTGCTGTTTCGTGTGGCGGCTTTTTCACAATGACATTGACTGAAGAGGGGCAACTTTGGAACTGGGGTGGTAAGGGTGCTATGTCTATTGTTAGAAATTATATCTTGTTAAATTATGGGAAGAAACTTGATTGAAATCTGAGTGCATCACTGTAGAGTAAAAGAGAGAAGTTGATCTCACCTGTTTAAAATTATAAAATCAGAAGATTGTGTGTGACATGTGAAGGTGAAAGAGAACGCAAAGAGGATTGAAGGCAAATTCTCAATTGATTCATATTGCATCTCTCTTGGGTGCTACACTATTTAGTATTTACAAAGATTGATAGGGCTTCTTGCTTGACTCATGATTAATCAAACTGTACAGTTACTGGATCTGAAAACTTGATAGGTCAGTGGTAGATGCCCTTAAGGTTAGTTTATGGTATGGGGTGGCAGAACCACAGGTTTGGTCGGGAGGTGCCTCGCTGAGGGTCTTTCCCTTTCTATGCTCTGTATATTATGGCCTTTCTTTTTTCTTTTTTAATAAATTTCCTGTACCTATTTTTCCTTTTCTATATTTTGAGTCCTCCATACATAATGGTCATTATTATGATGTGCGCGGTGGAGTTTCTTTTTTCTACATTTCTCATTTTATATTATTTTTTCTTTTGGGGTCGGTTGAATGTTTAATGGGCCTTGTATTTGTAAAATAATTGCTTTTCATTTAGCCATTTAACTTACTAAATTAGTGCAAAATTGATTAAAAACATCTAGTGTTCTTTTCTTACAGCAAACTCTAACTATGAGCTCGGTAGAGGAGATAAAGTTGGTAGCTGGAAACCACAGCCTGTTCCCAGCCTGAAAGATGTGCATTTAATTCAGATAGCTAGCGGTGGATATCATTCTCTTGCTTTGACTGGTATGATGAGTGGAGAATCTTACAATCCTGTAGGAATATCTTTATGCACATGTATCGTTGTATAGAGAAATGCTATACGTATCTTATTTGGCTATTCCTGAAATGAATTCAGACAAAGGGGAAGTGCTTTCATGGGGTCATGGTGGACATGGCCAGTTGGGTCATTCTTCCCTTCAAAATAAGAAAGTTCCTGTACGAATTGAGGCCTTAGCTAATGAGAGGGTCACTTATATTGCTTGTGGGGGTTCTTCATCAGCAGCTATAACTGGTAAGTTAATTCAATATATGTTCAACGCTAATATTATATGATGGGTTTGACATGATTTATTTCCTTTCGCCTTGCTCTCATTTCATACTCACATGTCTGAAATAGTTCTAGAAAATATAAAGTAAAAGACATTCTAGGGTTGGTTGTTTGTGTTTCATCTGGACAGGGAGGATGCAGACTAGTTTGACATCAGTATTTGTGCATCACTTACCAAAGGCAATGCCTATTTTCTTGGTTTTTTGGTCTACACTCTACATCAGTCTCATTCGATGATGAAAACCATTTATGTACCTGAGGTTTAAGTTTAATGACATCATGGCACTTAGGGTTTAGGATATTAATGGGCAAAATTGGCAAATTTTGACAGATTTTATTTTATAATCTGTTAAATTTTTATGTGAGGACAATTTTTCCTTTATTTAAGAAAATGGAATTTTAAAACACTAGCAACAGGAGAAATGGGGGAAGAGAGAGAGAGAGAAAGGAAAGTAAGAACAAAAAACTGCAAATAGGGAAAGCAAACCACCCTTCCATGCACCCCCGACACCAGCCATCTGCCTGTTCCACCCTCCCATCCTTTGCCAACATGAATTCTCAACCTCCTTTGCCACACTTCACCACCCCTTTCCCCATCTCTGTATGCTACACTCCCAATCTCTTTCTTATTAGCTCTCTCTGCAAGCTTTCTCCACCTTTTTCCCTGTGCCAGCGTCTCTTATCTTTCTTCCCAGCAGGGGTGGTTTCCTACTATGGCTCTTTTTGCTTCTTTTCCCTTTTATTTGCTCTCCCTTTGCCTTCTCTTGAGTTGCGGAAGTACAGCTTAGTCTCCAGCCCTTAATGGTAGATGGATTGTTACATTGAGTTGGATGATTCTGAATGTCCCAGTTGAGAAAACTCTAGATATTCACCCCTCATTTGGCCATGAGCTTCTAGTTGTCCACTTTGGATCACTTTATGAGGAGTTCAAGGTTATTTTAGATTAAAGAATTAGACTTTTGAGATGCCCGGTACTTGAGGAAAATGTAGCATTTGAACGTATATATAGAGATCATAATAATGAACATCAATAGCAGCAGTATTCAATGGGATACAATCACCTACCCTTGTACCATATATTATCTTACCATATGTGAAAGTTTTATTTGTGGAATTTGTCTATGAAAGGGTATAAAGAACGAAAAGAAAAAAATATAGGCTAGACTTAAGCGTTAATCGATACGCTGAAATAAAAAATACGAAGAACCAATGATAATAGTAATAATAAATCCTAATGAAAAAGAGTTCAGGTTGAATTCCATAAAATATTTTCTATAATATAGATTGGATTGTCTATCATTATAGACAAATGAAAGTCTTTCTCAAAATTCTATTTATCCACTTGAAATTTTCAAAATAGTTTGGTTGAACTCGAAAATTTCAACTCGAAAATTTCAAATGGATGAATAAGTTTGGTAACAATGAAATTGAGTGATTGAGTGCTATCTCCCATTTCTTATTGACATTTCTTAGCATAGAAAATACAATTATAAGTTTGTTAATCAAAGTTCTAAATAATCAAGTCAGTTACAGTAAAAAATATGCTACTTCTTTTCCTATCCAAACATACTTAGCTCCTTTTTGGTTCAGCTAAAAAAGCTGATTAAAATCTAAGTTAAAACCAACTATTAATTTTAAAATCATATTTCATGGAACCCACAACTTTTATCAAAATCTACTAAAAATTGGACTTTCTATAAACTAAACAGGGGCTTAGAAGCTTGCCAAACATTGTCTAGCAATAATGCATGTGTTAACTCAGTATTTATGTTTGAATGGTTTTAAGAAACACAATGTGCAAAAGAGTAACTGAATAAAAGTTGTCATGCACAGACAAAGGTAAGTTGTACATGTGGGGAAATGCCAAAGATTGCCAGCTAGGTATTCCTGGACTGCCGGAGATACAATCATCGCCTGTTGAAGTAAAGTTTCTGGTAGATGATAACGGCAATGATGAACTAGGAAATCACAATGTACTTTCTGTAGCTGTTGGTGCTTCTCATGCCATGTGCCTTGTTTCAAGATAATGTTGTAGCTAACTCAACTCTTTTGCTCAATTTTCCCTGTTAATTGGTTAACTTGCCGTTTAAGAAAAAGTAGAAATTAATAATATCTGTATACTGATTTTCCTCTGAGGCTGAAACCAAGGTATCGAGATCTAGCATCTGTGTTGTACACTGCGTAATGTCTCGAGTTACACTATGAACCTGCATCATATGTTTCCTCGACTCGTATAAACACTTTTATGCGTTATACAATGTAAAAATCTGATACCTTTCTTTATGCGCTCTAGCAACTACTTCATTGCTTACAGTTGCTTTGTTGCCCGGCTTTGATACTATTTGATATGAATACGGATGGTGAGCATCGAAAAATGAAATATATAAAGATAAAAGGCAAAAATGGTTTAATTTGAGGAAACTTGGAACATCCCAAGTACTGATTTTTGAGGACTCTATAAGGCTTCGAACACAAAATATACGTTTGTGAAAAATATGATTGCGCACCAGTTTTATTTTTATTTTATTTTATTTTTTTTTATTTTTTGTGGGTACCAAATAATTACAAATACATTACTATCTTGATTAATCCCAACTTAAACAATAAATGAAATAAAATCTTACAACTAAAAATAACATTCCTAAAAACTAAAATAAGCTCGTAGTGGGATATACATGAAAATAGCCCAAATAGTATATAACCTTTTCCAAAATAATCATATATGATAAATTATTTCATTAAGGGTATTATAGACATTTTACCAAAAATGAATAGTAGTAGGCCATTTATAAAAATCTCCCGCTCGTAGTAGGGAAAAATAAAAAATTATTGTTTCACTCTTTGAGACGTTGAAACGTCAACGGAATTATCATTATAAAATATATGGCAATTGTCCTTTGAACAGGACCGGATTACATTGAACACTAGATACCTTAAAAGTAAGTAGTTTACAATGAAAATAATCAAATATTGATATTGGTGGAGTTCCTATCATGTATACATGTACAAAGGTGGTGTACACGTCCCTCACACAGGGGTTCACACATTTTTTATTGGGGGTGGACTCCTCTCTCATGTGAGGGGCGTACAACGTATGTCTACAAATAGCAAAATTCATTATGTAATGTAGAGCACTGCTGCACTAGTAAGCAGGTCGTGAAATCTGCTCCTCCATGCTAGCCGGGCACACCGTGACCCCCCACCACTACCGGCACCGCCATGCAATTATACGACAAGCACATTGCAACCAAGTCCCACATCCACGACGACCTAGCCGCAGTTGGGAATCTCATTATGTAATCCTAAGATTGATGCCATGCAGCTGGGGGGGGGCACGTGCAGTTCTTAGATGTTGACAAGTAGCGGAGTGATGCCGGCATCCTCAGCGGAAGCATACCGGAGATTTTGTTCCGACTGAAATCCAAGTGGAGCAATTTTTGTGGAAAGTTATCGGGCAGCTGTCCAGAAATTTTGTTGTCGGCCAGCACGAGAACCTTCAACTGAGTTGAGGTGGATGTGGATGTGGCGGCTGGGATTGTTTCGAAAACTGGTTTTGGCTGAGGTCAAGGGCGTGGAAATCTGGAAGTCGGGATTGCGCCGGTTAGGTGATTGTTACTCTTAGCTTCTTGAGCGAGTCAAGTTGAGAAGGGATGGTCGTGGTCCCTGCAACGATGCCGGCAAAAGAACGAGCTGGCTCAGCTCGGTGAGTTTGGCAATAGAGGGAGAGAGTATTCCAGCTAGTCCCGGTGAATCAGATTGACCAGTACCTAGGACTAGTGACTCAACTCGTCTTGGTTGCTCGGAAGATGAACAATTGACTCCAGCGAAGGACGAACAAGGGTTGGCAGGTCGAAGTCCCAGCTTAAGAAGTGGTGGCACCAATGTCAATGAGGGTGTTCTTGATTTTGATGCTGTTCTGCAATTGTGCATTTGTTGATTGGCTGTGAAACAGATAGAGAACAAGTGCTACCAACAAAAAAGAGCACTTTTTTCCCATAATTTTCTGTGTGTTAGATTGAGAGATGATGCTGGTTGAGCACCAAAAAGCTGAACAAGAAAGATGGTAGACTTTGTCTACATACAGAATATAGACTGTCAAATTCGATATTGATCTAGGATTGGAGAAGAGCGATCAAGGATTTGTAGACCACATGCTCGCTCTTCTCCAATCCTTTCGCTTCTGCTACATTATATAGGAACGGGACGTAGATGGAGACATTGGCCGTAAGCGGGACACACTTCTTTCCTCTGTCGCCTCCACAATTTTTTGCTTACTTCAATCCCTCATCCTTCTCTTAATACACTAATAAGACATGCATAAAATAGTATTATCAACATAAATAAAGTCACGTGCTTTGGAAAACCTTATATATTTCACCAAGAGGCTTTCTTTGATAAAAAATAAGAATTTACTATAAGATTCGAAGTTTCATCTGAAAAGGTCAATCTTTTAAGAGTGATTCAAACTCATATATATTTGTCTATATTTCAAAATTTAGCTGATGTGAAATATATCCTTTAATATTTACTTCATCACAATGTCAAAAAAATTATTGGGTGGGGGTAGGGGGATGATAAAGGAGCAATAAAGAAAGATGTGTAATGTTGCTTCGACATGATTAATAGACATGGATTTTGACATGTCACAGCACTTGTCCGACTCCTTTTTTTTTTTTTTTTTAATTGTCAATCAAATTTGACACGTATGTCAATGACCATATTTATGTAGCATTACTCTAGAAATATTTGCATCTATGGAGGGTGTTGAGATTGAGAAGGGAAAGCTAACGAGAATTGAAATAGGGATAAAGAAGAAAATTATGAGAAAAAATTAATTAAAATTATTGTTTATTAATTTATTAAATAGTTTCGTATCCTCTATTTATTTATTTATTTATTATTATTATTTTTTAAGGTCAAGCCGTTCCATTATTGCAAATCTCCCCTAATAAAATGTGAAAGAAGAGTAGAACACAATCCATCCAACAAGACTTTCTAAATCAACAGAAAAAGAAATCGGAATACACAACAGAATTTCATGTCTTCTCCATAAAAAAAGCCACGACTTAAATAATACAATACTTGTGAATTATTATCGATTATATAGAATCACTTTTTTTTTTTTTCAGATTTTATGCATATATGGATTAAATAGACTATCAACTGTAGATGAAATGGCATCGATCATAACCTGCATAAAAGTATTAAGTATAAAAAAACATATTTAAATAAAGTATTTTGTAGATAAAAGAAGCTGTGAAAAGTAAATGCAAGTACTTTTATAATTAACTTAATGACTTAATTTCTAAACTAAGACTTTCATAACAAAGAATTTTTTGACTTTCTATCAAATGTTTTGTTTTATTTGGTACCATGGCTTTGTTGTTTGCTAATTGTTTTTACATACCTTAAAAACTATTAGTCACACAAGTCTTGGTGTACATAACGTATGTACATATGGTTGTTCACATCCCTCACATGGAATGGGGCTCACCTTACGCCAATTCCACCCTATATGAAAGACGTGGATACCTCTATGTATCTAAATTATGTCAATCAAGCACGACTCGTTAAACAATGTGTGTCTAGTATTTTGAAAGTTTAAAAGAATGTGCTTCTCTCATATGTTTATTTAACGTTAGTTTGGATTTAAATAATATTATGTTAGTAAAGATGAAAGGGAATGTCAGGAGAAGACATTTATCTTACTTGGATCAACAGTGACAAGTATTGCAGTGCCTCCAAAGTCGCAAGTTCCTCCACTGTTTTTAGTCTTTTGCCAATAACTATTAAAAGCGTAGGATGCATGAGATAATACTGTATCCGGCTGGTAGCAGAATCCATTAAGCTTAATAGGCTCACAATCGGCGCCTAGTAATGTACAACATCGCTAACAACCAACTGAATCTCGTGTTTTAAAAAGTTCTTGCATCATATATCACATTAATCTAAGATGCTTTAAGCCCCTGTTCGACAACCATTATTTGAAAACTCTTTTATCTTCGTATTTATTTTCAATCATATATTCACACAATAAAATATTTTGTACGTAAACCAAAAACTTTTTCCTATTTTTTAACTACACATTTTTAAAAAAAATCATAATTCAAAACTTCATTTTACCTAAATAATGATTGTCAAACAGGAGCTTAGTCTTAGACTCTTAGCAGCATACCTGAGGCGCACGCATAATCCAAAGCTTGTTGAATTGATGAAGTGGGTATTGTTGGCTTGGCGACGCACCAAACAGCATGCTCAGGCTTTGTATAAGCTGGTGGTGGTGGTCGGAAGCGTGAAGGTAGGCTTTTTGGGGTGGTGGGTGGTGGCAGGGACGGAGAAGGTGGATCGTGGGAGAGCGGAGGATATACACAAAATGGAGATTTGGATTCACCCTTCGAAATATCGATTGAAACATCACTATTCATCAACTCGTGCAGTGAATATTTATGCATTTCTTGTGGGATTTTGGACTTGTGGATTCGTGCTTCTGCTGCAAGATGTTGTACAAATAGTAATACGATACAAACTGCTAAAATGGACAATTCCATAGTCTCACTTCTTGGATTCGTAAGGATCGTATTCCAGTTTCGAAATCGTCTCTAGATGTCATTTTGCAAACTAAGAATTCTTTATAAGATGTTTGTAGAGAATTTGTGCTTGCTCAGAATGCAAGGGAAAATTTATTCAAAGGAAAAAGTTAAAGTAATTTAGAGCTTTTGAATTTTTCATTTAGCTTCTAATTCAACCTGATCAAATACCCCACATTTGGTTTCAAGAAAAAATTCCAATCATGTTCGAAAAGAGTGAGGTTGGAGCATAATGCAAGCATATTCTCATTTTACTTGTTCACTCTGTGAAATATTCTATTTACTTCAATCAAATGAAAAATCTTGCCACGAAGAGAGATTGATGGCTCAAAATTAATGTGGTTTACAACGAGGACATGTTTGATTGTCAATATTTTCTATGGAAAATATGTTTTTTCCATCCAAATTCATACTTTTATATTATTTGATTGACATTGTTATCCATGGAAAACATTTTCCTACATTTGGTTATTTGATCATATTTTCTTCAAAATCAAGGAAAATATTTTCTTTAGAGGGAATATGATTTTATTTTCCATGAAATTCACTATCTCTTTCTCTCTCTCATTTATTCACACTCTCTCATCTACCCACCAATAAAAAATCGAAAAGTATAATATTTTTTAAGTTGAAAATTAAATCAATCAAACACATTTAATTGACAAATTCTATGCAAATAAGTTCTAGATAATTCAATTGTCTAGATTTTTTTTTTTTTTTTACATACAACTTTCATGTTTGCAATCAAACACATCCCTATATTCAATGATTTAATAGCATTAGATCTTTTAATGGATTGAGCAATAAATCGAACAAGTTAACATCTAGCACATCTCGTAACGCTCCGAAGTTACGTTTCGAAGGTTGCTTAATTAATTTCTTTATCCGTAAGAAAAGTGAATTTACTCATATTGTAATACCAAAGAAAAATAAATAAATGAATAAAAACTTCAAGAACTTTTCGGAATAAAATAAGCTATTTTATTGTCTTAGAAAAATGTCTTTTAACTTAATCCACTAATGTAATATAAATTCAGCACTTATTTTTTAAAAGATTCAACATCTATTTTGAACATAAAAATTCTAATTTGAGAAAAAAGATTTCTAACTAAATATTAAATATTAAAAGAAAATAAAATTCTTAATCCAGCGACACGAATTCTGTCAGCAATCTCAACCTTCAACTTCGATCCATCAAGCATTTGTAGTAATAATTTTATAGGTGTGATTTGACAAAGATAGTTACCTAATTAGAATCTAATAGGCCTCTTAATTCAAATTTACCTTGTTTGATACTCATTTTTCTAAAAATTTATTTTTTCAAAACTCATTTTCAATCACATATTTTTTGAATAAAATAATATTACACATAATCCAAAAATTTTCTTTAATTTTTAACCATACATCCTCTATCAATCCACTATTCAAAATGCATTATTTTCCCCAAAATGTACATCAAACAAGGGATAAATTAGTGTTTCAACAAACAAACTTATCATGAAATTCGAATTTAAAAAATTTATAACTACATGTTTTATCTAAATTCGAATTTAAAAACCCTATCATGAAATTCGAATTTAAGATTTCAATATGGATATATGCAAATTTCAAATTTTATCTAAATATCTTTATATCAGATAATTCAATAATAATTTAATAAATATTTTCGTTTAAAACTCATATATGTCCAAAACTCATATATATCCAATTATTATGATTATTAACACAAGGTCCCTATAAGGAGATAAAGTTGCTAGATTACCCTAAAATATCAAAAATTGTATTTATGCCTCATAATATGTACGCATTTTATTATTATTATTATTATTATTATTATTATTATTATTATTATTATATTTATTTTTTTGGGTATTACACGTCTTGACCCTTGATTCATCTCAAAATCCTCGTCTTCACTCAACGATGTGAGCTCCTTTGTTTTTCTACTTTTCGAAGTGCTCTCCAAAAAACAAATAGAGAGTGCAAAAACCTATAATAATAAAAGAAAATAGTGTTCGTAATGGCACTGATAAGCCTCTTCTTTACTATTTAGAGTTTGTTAATCTCCTTATTTGAAATATAGTGGAAGTTTAATCGGACTACAGTCTCATAATTTTTTGTTTTGTACTAAAGGGTTTTTACATAAAAGGTGCTCTTTCTTTGTTACCCCTTTGAATCTTGTTTCATCACGCAAAGGGAAAAATCATTCCACTAGTTAATGAAATTTTACAACTAGTAATGCTAATTGTTATCAATGATGATGATAATCAATTTAGATGACAATAAATCCTTAAATTCATTTTCCAATATTATTCTTTTCCAACACGGCATTTCACCCAAAATAGTCACGTTTACTTGTACTTAGTGCTATACGTACAATGTGTCACGAAGGGTGATATTACACGTATATTAAGATGTTCATAACAGTATCCATTATCTTGCGTGAAGGGGGACATATTTCGAATAAAATGTGATTTATCCGAAGTGATCTCCTTCTCATATTTATCTGAAGTGGGTTCCCTTCCATGTGAAGAAATGAATATTATTATGTACGAATAACATATTCCGTGATCCAATGTATGAACATTTTTTGAATTCAATAAACTTTTTGTTAAATAATTGCGGCATGAGATCCGTCCAAGTAGTCAAAATATTGTTTTTATCCTATTTTTATATCTGTTATTCACATTATATCACTAAAAGTAACCGTTGGGTCCCGTTTTGTCTCTTCCCAAGCTCTGAGATTCAATTCCAACGGCTATATCTGTCCCCCATCCCTACAATCTACACTTGGAAGTCTTAAATTTTTCAGTCTAAATATCTTATTTTCAAAACCCATAATTTTAGCCTAATCCAATCGAAACAGAATGGGCATTAATCGTAACAATGGTGAATCTTCACTGGTAATTGTTGTGGAGTATCTAGAAACATCCATGTCGAGAGATCTTCTCTACAAGTTCCCCGACAACTCAGCTTTTGATTTCGACTACGCCCAGAGTTCCATTTGGTCCCCTTTGCTCCCTCCACCCCTACATTCCCATCAAGGAAAGGGCGGCATTTCGAGGAAATTATCGTACGAGGAAGATGGGTTGCTGGAAAATACCAAGAAAATGACAGCCAAGTTCAAAAGGAAGTTCGCAAATGCTGTATTTGATCATCTTCACAAGTACCATAAGATGAAGAAGAGAAAGAGGAAATCTATGGAATTTTCTTCGGTCCCTTCTTCTCATCAGCTATCGCCCACCTCCTCAGCACCGAGAAAGGTACGTCTTTACTCCCAAATGATTGTCATTACTCCACTAAATTGTGAATCTCCTCCAATGAGGGAAGGTCAAAATGCAGCCGCTTTCTCTTGGCAATTTCTTTAACGAATGATTCGTGGCGATTTTGCATTAATACCAGATCTAAATACATTTGCAAGTAAAAAATTATTAGCTAAGGCTAAAAAACATAAAAGGATTAAAAGTAACTTCTAAACTTAGCCAAATATATGCGAAAACTTAAAAGCCAGTGAGATAATAGTTAAACTCAGTCATTTGGGCACTATATACAAAATGAAGGAAATAAGTATTTGTGCAGGTATGGACAAAGGTACTGAAAGCTGCATCAAAGCATTTCAAGAAGAGGAGAGAGATCCCACTACCATAATTTGGGTGCTACATCAATGTAATTCTCTGTATTTGATTGATTCATGTTTGTTACTCCCATAATTTAAACCGACTCTGTACTCCCACTTTAAATTGAAGCAGTACGCGTTTCATCAACTAACTTTCTACATATTATCAAGGGAAAAAACTAACGAAGAAAACGGAAGTTGACATAAACCAACGTGACAGAAAGCAGTGTGCATTGATACATTGAGTACAAATTTGAGTGCTACAACAGGATGACAAAAATGCCAGAAGGAAATCGAAAAAAATTATATATTTGTAAACAATCTCAACAGCTATGGTACACAGACTTGACATCAAATGCGGGCAAGAGATGAACAATAGAAAATTCAAATTGCTGCCTTAACTTGCACTTTCGGAAATCTTTTCTTCCAAATAATGGGTCAGTTGCAGAAGCCAGCAGTGCCTGATCTATGACTTCGCCATCAAGCATATCTTTAGAATTGTAAATGAATAGGAACTCCCGCAAACAATTTTACTGTGAAATACGGCATCGAATTTTCTTCACCATTTGGTTTCGGTCAGCAACACAGTTCATAACTACTAAACTATCAGCCTGGCTCAGAAATAGTATCTTCTAAATGTTGTGACTAGAATATATACAACAACAGCAACAGTGTCGTCAAGAATCGGTAGCGACCTCTGCAGCGCGCTGCCTCATCATTTCCATTACAGCAGCCCTTCGTCGGGAATCAGATTGCTGCTGCAGCCGTCTCATGTGTTCCTTCAAATCCCTATATCAAATATGTAATTTCATAAGCATAATGTTATATATAAAATAAATTATCCACTACAGAGAAAGTAAAACGACAAGAATTGGTGGAACGAACCTGCAACGTGGTACACTGCATTGAGATTCTTTGCATGCTCGAGCATGAAGCTGAAGGAGATACCACATTTTCTTACAAAGAACACAACCTCCAGAAGCACGTATTTTACACAGCATACCATGGCGGAAAAGTCCCTTGACCTTACGACAGTTTGGATATTGGCAATGTGGGGAACGGCACTGAGAAGCATGTACCAAGAGATCGAGCATTTTCCTAAGCTGCAAATCCCAAAGACAGCCGCATCACAATAGCTCCATCAATAAATAAATGCTTCCAAGGTCAATGTGTTACTCTTGCTGACTCTATAAGAAACTAACGGAGCATATATGATGGAGACCTAAGCAAATGAAGCATTTCAATTGAACATCACATTTTGATTGTTCAGGCATTTATGAGAACCTGTACCCCTAGTGGACAAATCAGCTTAGACTACTATTTTTTTTTAATAGGTAATTAGGTAATTTTATTAATCAACAGAGAATACACGGAAAATGTATTATCAATTTAAACAAGAAGGAAACAATAAAAATTAGGCAGTCCTTTTATAGGATTAGAAGCCGCGGCATTAAACTAAGTACACAAAGTTTGATAAACAGTTATTTGGTTTGCTCTGTCGTTCGTGTTTTGATCTTCAGAACAACGACTGTTCCTTTTTCTCCACACACACCATACAATGTATCCAGGGGTAAAATTCCATACAAGCTTGCTATCCTTATCATGAAGTTTTCTCCTCCATGCTTGCAACACATCCTCTATGCACCTAGGCAACACCCAATCCATCTAGTGAGATGCTAGAATACTATTCCATGGTCAACGAACACATCATAATGAATGAACAAGTGGTCAATCGTCTCCCCATCTCTCTTACACATATAGCAATCACTCGGTTACCTAGAAACCTTTTCTTCGAAGATTATTCACTGTTAACACCTACCCCTAACCATTTTCCAGGAGAATGAACCCTCTATAGGTCCCAAAAGGGATATGAAATAAGTGCGAACTGAAAAAATACCATCCCGTGGCAACCTCCACTTGCTATAATCACCCTCTCTTACCCGAATTTGCACCTCATGCAAGGAGGTCAAGAACAACGCATAATCATCTAATTCTCAATCTGTAAACCTCTCCCAAAGGTAATATTTTAGATGTAACTCTCATTGTGAATGTCTAATACATGATTCACCTAGTAGAAAGCAACAGGGCAATACGATACAAGGAAGGGAACCCTACTTTTAGCAGTTGATCTCCACACCAACAATCATCCTAGAATCTAATATTATTAACATTCCTCACCGCAAAAGTCAATCTATCCCAAAAGTCACTCTATCCTTGTCGGATATACCTCCACAAACTCACCCCATAAAAACATTGAAACTCGACCAAGCAATAGCCCCCTCCATGCTTAAACTACTAATTTTTACCTAGCTATTTTGTCTTCGTCAATTTTTTGACTTGGTGCAATTCATGCCCTTTCTAATTATTAGGATGTTTATCCAGTTATAGGAGCTTCACCTAATGGAGCATTCTGTCCCACCTAAATGTCTAGTGGACATTTCATCTTAAGATACTAGATCTTTAAGGTGCATGATACTCTCTAATTACCTCACAAGGAAAATATAGGTAGAACTCAAAAGTCAAAAGAACATGAAAGCTGTAGAATGATGTCCAATGCCCAAAAAAGTAAGAGAGAACAGCATACCTGCATAACTCGCATTTGTCTTGCTTCTTTGTTTTGTGCATCACGATCATTGGATGTATGATTAATTAAATTGTGAGGATGATCAATTCCACCATCTTTCTGATAACAAGTATTGCATACATCATAATCTGGGCATGTCTCACAATGCCAACCTTGACCAGCATCTATATCAAGGTGGCAAACATTGCATGTTATTACAAAAGCTGGCGCTGTGGGGTTGTGAAGATGGTAGAGAACCATCATTGAGGAATGCTTAGCACGGCGAAGGGTATCATATTGATAATGGTTTCCTTGACAAAGGCTGAGAAATGCCTGTCTCGTATCAAAGAATTCACTCTCAAGAATCTCGTCTTTATCTTTGGTATCACCAGTGACATCAGTGATTTCAACCTGAATATTTACCAATTTCTCAATCCAAAAGCTAAAACTAAATCCACGAATTTTGATGGATCTATTCCACCGCATGAAAGAATAACAAGAAATAGAGACAAGAATGCACTAAGGACACACAAGTGTATACAAAACCACATTGGTGAATACAATAATCCGGTACAACTTACTGGATAAAGTACATGCTTGTCCTTTTGATAGATAGGATGTCTCTCTCTGTCCTCACGTTTTTTTTCAGCTTCATAGCAACTGTAAGAGAAAAGCATTAGAATGAAGCTTCTTTCTTACTTATTTTTATTTTTTTTCAGTTACCAGCAGAATTAACAGTATGCTACTATACTGGAACATCATTGGGAGTGCCTATCTGGATTCATTGGGGTAGAAGGATAAATATATACAGCAATCTATAGAAAGGAAAAATCAAAGCTAGCTTCCAAAGAAACCACAACCAACTACAAATTGATTTATAGGTAAATGTTTTAGAAGATTGCAAATATCAAGGAAGCAGAAACTACTAGAGTATAAGGCTACAGTTGGTAAGAATGAATGATATGCCACACCAACTAGCAGATGTATGTAAACTTAATTGATCGAGTGCAGGTGAACCACTTTTCTAAAATAATTTCGATCAATTTGACAGGTAATGTTATACAATCTAGCAAAAAATGGTAAAATCACATGTCAAAAAGGAGATTAATAAAAAAAGTATATTGTAATTCAGTTACCAACCAGAATTGGTGAAGTGTACAGAAGATGATGCTGCCAAAATGTAAAGAAGGGAACGCTTATTATACTTCACAAAATATTAATTTTGAAAGAGTTTCCAGAAGTTGGAAGGCCAAACAAAGAAACAGAAGTATATGAAAACAAACAAGAACCAAGAGGCCTACAAACAGGAACTTCACAATCCTCTCAAGAGAAGTGGTTTCAAAATTAGCTTCCTTCTTCTTCTTCTTCCATATATATATATATTTTTTTTTTTGATAAGAAAATTAGCTTCCTTCTTTGAAAATGTCTTTAAAAAAATCAAGTGCAGTTGATGTTCCAAGAAAGCACTCAGGTTTAGAATGAACCCATATCTCAATTAACAAATAAATATTGACTCCAAGCACGTGTTTCATCACCATCTGTGCATTTATATATTTATAAGAACGTAAACATCACCACATCTACTTGCTGATACAAGAGTACACACAAATGCATCACATATACGTGACATGCTGATATACAAACATTTAATCCCCACATGAAATAAGCCACATTTGAATGAACTTTAAACCCATTTGTTAATTAGAAATCAAGGCATGCCAGATGTCTGTAAAATACTGTTTGCAGCAAGTAATTCTAACTCGCGATAAATAACGGTAATCAGGTGGGTAAAGTAAATTAAACAAGTTACCATTCTCATTTGGTAGAAAAAGACATGAAACTAAACCAGTAGAATATTAGAATTCCAATTCACATTAAACTGGATACAAATCTTGCTTCATTTACAGTAATAGATTGATTTTGCAGTCAATCATCTTGTTCCCCCCAGTGGCTGGATTATCGGGCAATCGTCATTATAATTCAATTACATTTTTGTTGTCAACTATTCTTACCTTTTTCAACGAATTCAAATTTAGTCTTCAAATTAGTCAATCCCCTCAAAATGCTCTTTATCCTCACAACCTTACTCCTTGGTGACAAAATAGCAGGTAGATTAGTGGATCATCAGAGCATTAAACGGTGTGGAAAAAAAAAAAGAAAAAAAGAAAAAAGAAAGTTTTAATTTTCTCAAAGATATGTGAACAAATATCAATTTTGTCAATTTTATTCATAGCCGGTTCCACGCCCAGGTAAAGATTGATAGTTGCAATAGGTTGAAAGTTGTAAAACTATGTCAAATATTATAACGTGAAACCTAATACACATTTTGTTGTACTTCGAGCCACTTATTCTTTTTAAAATCACATTTTCCTATGACCATTTTAAATTGCATTCATAACCATTCAACCATTTTACCTCTCTCCAAAGGGGGTTGGGGGTTGGGAAGGAAAGTGAAAATACCCCCAAAACCCAATAAATGAATATTATACTGTAATGGCCGTCTCGGGCAATAGAAGATAGACAGCTCTATGGATGATTCAAGAAATAAGAGGATTCTGTATAATAAAAAAGAAGTTTTAACTCTT